AAAGGTTGGCGTAAGGGGTTGGGTTAAATGGCTGATTATATCGTCGGGAACCGTCGGAGAGATAAGCCACTGAGTGTTTGTGATATCCGGGAAGTCTGAACATGGGATATGGTTTTGTAGTCATTCCGATGGCCACAAGAGTCGTCTCTGGTTTCTCAAAGATTTTGCATTCCCAGTAGTAGACCTCGTTTTGCTTGGGGACGGGGAGATTGCTTTGAACGGAGCATTCGGTGTCATAGAATTCAACTTCGGTGCGGGCCTCGACGAAACAGTTGGCGATTTCCAGCTCGGCCTCGAATTCCCAGGCTGATACACCCTTTTCTTGGATTGCAAGGAATTGAGACAGCGAAATGTCGGTAGGTACAGAATCTGGCGGATTGGCTTCGATGAAGGCTGTATTTTACATAATGTTAGAGAGAAAGCCCCAATATATATAAAAATAGAAGGGGAAAATGGAAAAGGGGAAGTACCTCTGGCTCTCCAGTATTCCTGTCGGTCCATTTCGTCCATAATCTCCAATGCTTCGGCCTCTTCCCTTAGGAACGCCTGTTCGTCATCGAATTCACCGGGCCTGCCCAACCTATCCAACAATATTCTGCCACGGTTGGTGAATCTGAGGAAGTATATTATGGCGATTACGATGAGAACAAAAGCGGCAGATCCAAAGGCTGAGAGCAGTGCGATTAGGACTCCCCGACCGGGGGAGTTATCGGGAGCAAAAGCCATTACGGCCATTATAGATGAGAAGGAAGACTACGCCGACACGCGACGGCCTTAGACGTCGGATACTATTAATATAATGGATCTGTTTGAGGTATTTGAGTCGGAGAGGTCGCTGCAGAAGATAATGGTCGGAAGGGACCGGGTGAGGGTAGAAGCAGTGGCAGAGAAGAGGAAGATTGTTGGTCGGCAAGCGATGCGGGGACGCGAGTTCGGTCGGTCGGTTCTACCATGTACAGCACCTGGAAACGTCGTCACAAAAGGGGCAGCAGAGGGGGATGGCAAATAGGAAGCCGGTGGAGCGGTGGTAAAGCAGCGATGAGGGCGGTGGCGATGGTGGTGATGGGGGGAGGAAGAGGGAGGAGAGGAGGGAAGATAAGATGAGGTGGATGGATGGATGGATGCAGATGAGAGAAGTGTGGAATTTTGGGAGGCAAACAGACTCGAAGGCGGGAGAAATTTGGAGATGGGGACTGACACTCGGTCGTCAGGTGGTGTGTGTTGGCAGCACGGGGAACCCGGAACAAATGAAGACACTTTGACCACAAACCACAACGAGTAGACGCTTGCGATGTCGAGGAACGCCAGGCGACAGGGACAGATTCTGTTCTTATCCTTCTTGTTCCGCCTCTCGGGACAAGAAGAACTAGCTCTTTTTTTTTTTTTTTTTTTTTTTTTTTTTTTTTTTTTTTTTTGTCGGTCTGGTATGTGAGGAGACTAGGAGGGTGGCGGAGGGCTGTTCTGTTCCAAATTCAAGTATTCAAATACCTTGCCCACCACCAAATCCAGCATACAACCAGTACCTGAGCAAGCAAGTATTCTGTAACCGTCAAACGTTTCTGGAAAAGCACTATAAACGAAAAAGTATCGAAGCCGCACGGCGGGTTTTTTTTTGGTATCGACTGTCAATTTTTATTTTTATTTTTATTTTTATTTTTGTTTGTTTGTCTGTTTTATAAAGAGACTAATTGACTCTTCCTTCAACCTTCTCCTCCGCACGAACCGAACCCGGCTGACCTGCCTTCTTGAATGAGACTTTCTGACGGGAAGGCGCCTCCTCAAGAATGCCACCGTTCAGAATTCAATCCTTTTTTTTTTTTTTTTTTTTTTTGTGAAGGGAAGAAAGATTGCGGCTGCGATCCATCCATCCATCGGATTGAATTGAATCGAATCGTGGCCCGTTGGTACCACTCACTCACTCGAGTACTCACATATTACATACATGCACAAATAAGCACATATGTATGTAATGTACATGTATACAAAGTACAGGCAAGGGTGGGAGGGAATATGTACTTGCACTGCCAGTACCACATCTCCGCCGTCGCACATCCAACGTTCTATTATCATGTGTATCTTGTGTATGCGGATACGTTTCGTTTCACACTGACTTTAAACGGCCTCGATCCAAATGCATGCATGCATACAATTGAATGGGTGAGCGAAAAAAAACCAGAAAGAAAGCCAAGAGTTTACACACAAACGCTGCTTCTAATTTTGTCACCTCCACTCGGCGCGGGCTGGCATTCGAGGGGCTTGTAGCGGGGCCGGTTCGTGCTGCAGTGCGCTTGCTTACATGTGGCCCCATGCAAATCATAATCAGTTATCCGTCGTAGCTTCTATATTCAGATATTCACACCTGGGGCGGGTCGTACCTTCTCATAGTATGTCGCCGTAGATACCCGTTATCCGATAACTACTCAATTACTCCTTCCTAGTAAATACTTTCGGTATCGCAAGTTAAGTTCGACCCCATCGCGTCCGCCTAGAAATTTTCGAGGAATTTTGAACAAAAAACTTGTGAAGCTTCCCTCGGGAATCCGAATACTACGTATACTACTATTCACAATTCGCAAGGGCACAAGTATCTATTTGCTCCCAATGAATGTGATAAAGAAATATAAAATGCAAATCTGCCCCCCGAGCTAATCTGGAGAATTCCTGATGATGGCCTCAACCTCAGACTGAGACGCCAATCTTGAAACACTAGGTTCGCGAACACGAACAAGCCCACAAGTTTGCATGTGTTTTCCCCCTCGTTCGCAGACCCCAAAAAGAAAACCAGCCACCAAATGATAGCGGTTCCAAACCGTTGGAACAACCGTCTATGCACGTCTATGCTCCTGAATTTTAAAGATATTGGCACTCTCACAAACACACGCGCACTGCTAAACCCGGTTAATTTCCTGCAACGGTGTGAGGATCGGTGTCGCCACTACATAGTATAACCGTTGGGGTGAAAGGGTCTTGTGGACCGGAAGATGGCTATTTACTTGAAAAATTATTTATATGTCAAACAATTGATGGTGCATGTTCCAGACGTCGGGATATCTCCAGCGTGCATGCTCATCGCGATACTTAGCTGTTACCAGTACAGTACTAGATTTGTTCCCTCTCGTTTTTGAATAAATATCTATATATCTTTTTATACTGGAGGCTGATCGGCCTATGCACCTGTAGATAACCAGGCTAACTGGTGCAAACTTATGCTCAGCATTCGATTTTGAATTATATATGCTCAATCGCGACCCTCTTACACCAATGCAGTGCAGTGGATCCACGGGTATAGATAATTCCGCTCTGTGAAGTATTGAGGCCGGCACTCGGGCCCTCGATAGTAGTCCATATATTATACCAACCCCAAGGTCATGTGACGAATTTGGATATCGAAACTAGAAGAAGGGTGACAAAACTGAACAGAATTTATTTGAAGCTTTCCATCTTAATTCATTACCCAAAACCATCATGTGACTTCAGGCCTGTCTCGTAAACCAGCTTTAGGCCCTTGATGCTCCGGTCCGTATCAACACAGTTATTATGACTAAGCAGTCTACGAATCCAACAGCCTCCAACGCACTTTGAAACCGAATATTTGAATCCCGGGCCTGCACCGGCCTTCGGAGAATCTCGAAATTCTAACCGAAATATAAATGTCACATTTGAAGAATTATAGTAGAGTATCTTTTATATATGTTATATTTAAATTAGATTACACATGCTGAGAAGACCTACTATCCCGCCTACGATTTTGGCTAGCAGTATGTGATATTGCTGTCGAAAGATTTTGGGACGAAGTTATTTAATCGTAACAACCTTCGAGTCGATATGAGCCCGAAAATGATCAGTCGAGTTGAAGATTTTACTTCTAAATTTGACGTTCATTTTCAATCTGCCTGTCGAAAGCCTGGGCAGCTCACAGAAATAAAAGGAAAATTAAAGATTTATCCGAAGCGATAATGAAGAATCAAACTGTGAAGAGACAGTTGGCCGAGTATTTGCATCAAAAGAAGAATTTAATCAGAAGTTTGAAATTACAATCGTACAAAACTTCAAAGCTGAAACTTTAGAAAGATTGCAAATAACTCAAATACAAACAGGTATGATACAAAGAAGAGATCAACTAGTAGAGGGTAGCAAAGAAGTTAAACGACGAAAATTTTCTGCTGCTACAATGGAGAATGAACTGGAGAGAGTACTTGAGAATATTGCTGAGAAGTTAGGTTCAATGGCGTCGAGGGGGAGGATTTGTAACAGGATCCCGGGAGTAGATCTTCTTACCCGGGCCCGGTGGCGTGTAAAGGCATTTAATCAATATAAAATCATGATTAGATCTGTATCGATTACAAATGTTTAAATTCCGCCTAAATTGTATATCTCATAACTTCCTAATCGTGATATCAATGGCAGGTATATCTTCCTCCTACGCCTGCCGTCGGTCCCAATGCCTTTGCCTGGGCTAAGTACCTAGGTATGCAATCATGATTGGCAATATTAGCAACTTAGTACCCGCTTCGGACTTTACTAAGTCTCATGAATAGTTTCTAGCCTACGTAATATCTAGATCTGACATCAACATCGATATCAATGAGCGGTGGTCCCCTCCGGAATCGACGGCCGTCGCCGAGACTTTGAAGAGCGATAACGACTATTGCATGATCGATTGCGAAAGAGTCAGTCGATGTCGATATCAAGAGAGAAAAATGTTTAACAGATTTTCTCTTGCAAAGAAAAAAAACGACATCACCAGGGACATACATGACGTGACACAAATTCCCACCGTCGCCAAAAGCCGTCCTCAAAACCGGGAAGCGACTGTCAACCCAGTAATCGGGAAGAAGTCACCCCACGCGCAACACAAAAACCTGAAAACCCTTGTTTGACGAGCTCATCCCGAACCAAAAACCACATGGCCAAAATGCAAAAAAAACTCCAACTTTCTCGTTCCCAGAACCCCAAAAAAAAGGTTCCGAAGATGTCAAAAAAGTCAAAAAGAATCAAATCGCCCTCCGGGAGGCTCGAACTCCCGACCTTGGGATAGCTATGACAACAGGGCCGAAGCTCTGTTTCGATGCATAAAAGTCCCACGCTCTTCCGATTGAGCTAGGAGGGCTGTTTGATGGAAGTGCCATATTCGTTTATCTACATGAACCCTATCATAACCCGGCGGATAAAGAGTCGAAGGCGACCCCTGCCGAAAATGACCCACTCTACATGGTCTTGGCGGCTCGGTAAGACTCTACTTGAGGAATTTATACGGAGTATCTTTATTCGAATTCGAACGGTACGCGAACCTAACTCGTGGTAATATTTGTACCTAGGACTTTTATGCATCGAAACAGAGCTTCGGCCCTGTTGTCATAGGGAATATTTCCTGTCACGGGTGGAAGATCTTGATATATATTACAAAGTCTATAGCTATAGATCGAGATAGGAGAAAAGGGTTTGATACACTGCACTGGTTCCTTCCACCGACCAATAATCATACCCAGAGTAAATTTACGCAAATGTGCTTGAAAAAAGTAATCATGACAGCATTGGTAATGTCTCCATGCGTACTTTCTATATAACCACGGATGTACTCGTACTCGACTACCTATATACCTACTTAAGTTACTATTTATTTTTGTTATAGAACCCATATGGCTACACCAAGTCATTAGGAGTGAAAGTCTTTTTGAAAGATTGCTAGTCGCGTCTTCACAATTGAACGAGTTTGTATCTTCGAAACTCCGTGTTGCAAGTTGTTGGATTCGGACAATATAATGCACGCCAGTGGACCGTACGTACGGGTACTGCGGTTGAAGATCCCGAGACTACTGTGGTTGGGGGTGTGGCACCGAGCAATTGAATCGTCCCAATCTAATACAAACCTTTGGGTTTATAAGCTGCCGTTCAAATTTACAATCATAGCTAAGTATTAGCCTAGTTCGAAGTGTAGGTATATACGTATATATATGCTCTCAATACATTCACCAATTAATCAAATGTTTCAAGATTTGAGTAAATATCCAATCAAAAGACGTATATACGCATATGAGGAAATTATGTTTAGATAAAGTGCAAGTCATATGCTTGATTATATCGTGGGCGAGGCATGGAACGCTGTAATATCGATATCCTCTGGAAAGCTCGCGCTATACGGAAGATCATCAAACACATTTTCGTCTCTAGGGTGGGCGTCCGAATTGCCATTTAAATCCCCCTCGTTCGCAGCGTGTACCAAGTTATCGCCCCACGTGTGCACGCGGGCACCGGGTGGTTGGTTTTGTATCAGAGCGTTTAGGTCGATGTTGAGTGCATCCGGAAGGCTCCCTAAACTATCAATAAACTCTGCAAATGGGTCCACCTGTCCGTTCATTGGGATCTCCGATATCTCGTCTGGTATGATTGAGGGCACTCGGCCAAGGGCGGTGAAATTGAGGCGAGACCAGACACCTCAAGGCCCCGTCCGACGCCGGGTGGAGTATCCGGTAGCCTGAGAAGGAAGTTCTCGGTGTTTTCGTTTCCTCCCTCTTCTTCTATTCCATTATCATGCTCTTCCTCTTCTAATCCGCTCTCGATCTCGATAGAGGGTTGTCCTAATAGGTAATCAGGAATTAGTCCTCCATTTCATGATGTTTGATTTTGATTGTTTGTCGAAGGCCACATACCTTTGGTCCATGCTGCCTGTTTTAATAATTGTCTAGATTTATATTTTTGTGGAATATTACTCGACTCTAGGAATTCTGCAGACTTATATGAATCCGGAAACCTAGGGCTTTCATCCCACTCGAATATTTCCACCGGATAATCTCTATGCTTCCACCCTAGACTTTTAATATCTTTCACCAAAACCTAGCCGGGCCCCGGACGAAAGTTCGAGATCAAAGAGGAAATATAGTCTTTATACGGAAAGTACCAATTGTAGTTAACATCTTTCCAATACCAAACATTCTTCACGAAAACTTTTTGCATCTGTTGTCGGTCAAATACGTCAGGGTCGAAGACCAAGATGGCTATCAGACTGTGGCTGTTGCATTTACCAAGCTGGGGAGAGGAATTGCTATATAACGCTATAAATCTCGGAACGGGAGTATTCCCGGTTTTTGCGCGAACGAGGATCCCCCGGGGGCCGGTCTCTAGATTGAGATCTGGGGGGAGGTAATTGCAGGTTTCTTGACCCGTGACGCGGGAAAGGTAGGAGAATTTGTATTCCTAGCCATCGTATGAGGCGTCATTATCGATAAATGCGATATCGTATGCGGTGGATGGGGTGCAGAAAGCAGCTAGAAGGAGTGCGGTGGCTGATACCGTCCACCGCATGCTGCTATATGCTGTCTAAAGATCTAGACCGTCGAATTATAGAGTAGAGTCTTATGCAACCTTTATTCCTGCGCTTAGAGATGCATACAAATTACCCTTCACGTTTACGAGGGTGAATATTCACCGGATCCAAATACCCTCTAAATGGCTCGAGCGCTCGTGGCTGGTGTGTGCTCCATTCGCCCCCGTAAGGGTGCCAACTTTTTCCTTCAGGCCTATGTGGGCGGCCCCATGGCCCACACGTGCACATGTGTTTACTAAATTGCAATTGCGCAAGCCGATTTTAGTGCCTATTTGATATATCGATGTAGACGTATATGCTGGACTCTACAAAGGTAGCTTTTGAGCAGTGTTATGGCTTCTAGTATGAAATGACTACATCGAGAATTTACATATTGGTATTTGAATTCCGGTAGAGTCAAATCCCTAACTTCTATGAGCTATTGGCCTCTGCCTATGTATCTCCACGCTCGACTCAAAGATTCGGCGACATCTGAGATAGATTATCGAACCCCTCATTATCATAATCCCCACCCGCAGCACTCCAATACTCATCCTGCTCGCTCTCCGACCCCTCATACCCTTCCCATCCCGGAACAGTATCGTAGTCATGAATAGTAACCCCATAATCGGGTTTAACATAAACCTTCCCCGCCAAATCAAGATTCAAAACCTCACCGGGAGCAAGCCCAGCTCCCTCAATAAGCTGAGTAGCAGGATCATCCGGCATGAATTCCGGGTATATCTCCCTCCAGTAGCCCGTATACTCCGGTAACGTAGTTGCTATACTTTGCATTTTCCCGGGTGCGTCGTAGTAGGCGAATACGTGGATTATATTCACTCCCATGCATCCTGGGGCATTGGCGTTGAAACTGGGGGCGTACATTGCGATGTATGGGGGGACGTTTCTGTCGGTTGCGGAGGCGGTGGAACGGACCCAGACGTCCATTACGTCCTCGTCACCTGTTGACATGCAGGGTGGGTTGGTTTTGTCGATGACGTATGGGATGTTTTCCCAGGGGATTTCGGTGACCTCTTCCCAGCCGCCGAAACCGATTTGATACGGTTGCGCCCTATGGGCGAGATATATCAAGGAGAGGAAGAACACAGAGTAGTTTGGCATCTTGGCTAAAGGGTTTTCTAACGAATCCATATGATTTACTTCACCTTTCGATATAATTGGTTTCGAGAATCTCGACGACGCAACTTACTTGATATCGATAATTGGGATAAGACTGAGTACAAAATATATCTCTTGTCTCGTTCCCAGCCCGCCCGGGCGAATATATCTCTAATATCCGCAAAAATTTGTCGAGTAGAACTTTGCTACCCGAGAGTATTTGCGTAAAGTTTAACGCTCCTCCACTGGTAATAGACCGAACATACGATTTTATGCATTCGTCATCTAGATATTAATATTGAGTAACCAAGCAAGGTTATAGGTAGCATGATGTTTTACGTCTCGGGCAACATATGACGCTCATTTGGATTATGGGGTCTTTGATTTTATAGCAATGTAGGCTAGAATATATGTACAACTTGTTTCATGGCCACTATGATAGAGTCCAGTAATTATAAATCAATGGAAATACTGAGAGTCAAAGTCGGGATTCGAATTCAGTATTATAGCATTGACCCGAGGGTCGGAATCGTCAGGATTGGCCGACGCGGACGGGCTTTGAGAATCACGCAGTAATGGGAGTATGGGAGACAGTGAATCGAAAGCTTTGAAGTCACTGGGGAAAGGCGACAATGCAATGCCTTGTAGAAGAGGTTCATAATCGTCGTCTCCCATATCTACTCGGATTTTCTCACCTGGTGCGAGTTCGTCAGGGATTTCGGTGACGAGTGTGTCGTCCCTTTCAGCGCTTTCCCTAAGTCTCTCGCCGAGGATATTCGGTGTTTGGTATTGTATTCTAGGCTGTCCTCTCTAGGGGCGTAATATATCCCAGTCTAGGTCGTCCGGAGATTGTGACCTTGACTGTGAGAATCCTGACGGCATTTGGACTTTCGGGAGCTGCGGATTTGGAACCCGTAATCTGCTTGAGCCAGAGTTTGTAGAGGGGAATTGTAGGGGTGGGCGGGCCTGGTTATTCCTGAGCAATCTGAACCCCGCCGATGCCTTTTCGAACGGGTCGAGTTTTTCCACCATTTCTGTCAATGAGTCTTTTGCCCCATATTGAAGCGGCTGGCCTCCACATGTCTCAGGGTATCTTCGGCGCTGCGGGACCAGCGGGTTATCCTCTGTCCCTGCCCATTCTCTTTGGCCTTGCGTCTGCGTCCTCGATAGCAAGCCCGGGAATGTCTGCTCATCATATCCTATCCGAGGCCTCACCAGAACGGAATCCGGACTATCAGGGAATTGCTTCTCCAGCGTCCCGAGCCTCATATTCAAATTCTCGAATTTTGACGGCTTTGTAGACAGCTTGGGCCGTTCGCCCAGACCTTTTTGATAGATCTCAAGAGGTTTGCGAGCCGGCTTCATCTGCTGGCGTACGGGGTACACCCATACCTCGTCCGGCAAACTTCCCCATTGTCCATTATTCTCTTTAAACAGAACGTCGCCTTCTTTCATAGGCATAGAAGGTTTGCTACCGAACAATTTCCTCCATTCTATGCTCCCTTCTTTTAACACCTGATACATCGCAGACTCCGGATAATCTACATCATCCCACCCAGGATCGAGGACGCGGACCTCCTGATCTACGAATTGGAGTTTGTATGGGAATACGACAATTTTGACGTTGGCTTTTGTACAGTCGCCGTCATATATGGCGATTGCATCAGGGATGTCTTCGAGGTATGGGT